GATTATTCTGGGTGCTTCATATAGGTGGGATCATGTAACATTTGTCCTTTTTATTTGGCTTATTTTATTTAGCATGATGTTGATAATTTTTAAAATTTACATATTTATATATTTTGGTATATTTGTACAATGTATAATAATACAATTTATTGTTTATAGCCCTTGTCTATAATTCTCAGACACTAGTCTTTCTATTTTCTACTTGTTGAATTCTTTACTCAGTGGATGATTAAGCTTGTTACTTCAAAGTAAATTTGAAGCATGTTATTACAAAAATTAAAATAAAAGAAAAAATTAATGGAGAAGGGAGAAGTAGGAAATATGTGCTTAAAATTGTATATATGAAATACATAAAATAGTTTTATAGAAATAAATTTTAAAATTGAAAAAAATATTTATTTCAAAGGCAGAGTTAGGGGGAGAGAGTAAAAGAAAGAGAGAATGGGAGAGATCTGTCTACTGGTTCACTCCCCAAATGACCATAATTATCAGGGATGGGCCAGGCTGAAACTGAGAACCCAGATCTCCATTTGGGCCTCCCACATGGGTGTCAAGGACCCAAGCACTTGGGCAACCTTTCTCTGCTTTCCCAGGTCCATTAGCAGGGAGCTGGATGGAAGCAGAGCAGCCAGGATTTTACTGGTGTTCTGATATGGGATGCTGGTGTTGCAGCCACTTAAGTATGATTTTTAAGTTCTTTCTACAGCTATCACTCTTCAATAAAAGTAGATTTTGCATGTGACATACTAAGGAGTTAAAGAGGAGGTAAATATGAGTGGACTTCAAAAAGTGTATTTGAAGTGGATATGGAAAAATTATACATGGATTTCATAATTTTTGCAGCAAAATGAACTTGTACCAACTTGTTACAAAATGTGTGAATAGGATTTAATTTGAAGTGCCCTCTCTCTCTCTATTTCAGGTATATGAAAATAAATACGTATTTCAATAAATAAAAATAGCTTATCATCATATATTGACTGTGTAGTTTAGAGTGGTGATTTAATCTCTCTTTCCTGTGGCCTTTTTGCATAGTTAGTGACATGTATACTGACCATCTAAGAGGGCTTTTTTTAAAAAAGCTTTTATTTAATGAATGCAAAAATTTTTAAAGATTTATTTTATTGGCCAGCGCCGTGGCTCAATAGGCTAATCCTCCACCTTGCGGCGCTGGCACACCGGGTTCTAGTCCCGGTTGGGGCACCGGATTCTGTCCCGGTTGCCCTTCTTCCAGGCCAGCTCTCTGCTGTGGCCCGGGAGTGCAGTGGAGGATGGCCCAAGTGCTTGGGCCCTGCATCCCATGGGAGACCAGGAGAAGCACCTGGCTCCTGCCTTTGGATCAGTGTGGTGCGCTGGCCACAGCACGCCGGCCGCGGCGGCCATTGGAGGGTGAACCAACGGCAAAGGAAGACCTTTCTCTCTGTCTCTCTCTCTCACTGTCCACTCTGCCTGTAAAAAAGAAAAGATTTATTTTATTTATTTGAAAGACAGAGATACAGAGAGAGGTAGAGACAGAGAGAATGGTCTTCAATCTGCTGGTTCACTCCCCAATTGGCCGCAATGGCTGGAGCTGTGCTGATCCAAATCTAGGAGCCAGGAGCTTCTTGTGGGTCTCCCACACGGGTGCAGGGGCCCAAGGACTTCGGCCATCTTCTACTGCTATCCCATGCCACAGAAGAGAGCTGGATTGGAAGAGGAGCAGGCAGGACTAGAACCGGCACCCATGTGGGATGCTGGCACTCAGGCCAAGCCTTTAACCCACTGCACTACAGCACTGGCCCCATGAATACAAATTTCATAGGTACAACTTTAGGAATACAGTGGTTCTAATTAACTTTATATACAGAAGACCAACTCTATACTAAATAAAGATTTCAACAGTTTGCACACACACACACACACACAACGTATAAAGTACTTTTTGAGAACAAGTTTTGCAGTTAATTCTCACAGTACAACTCATTAAGGTCAGAAGTCCCACATGAGGAGTAAGTGCACTGTGACTTCTGTTGTTAATTTAACAATTAACACTCTTATTTTTTGTGTCAATGATCACCTGAGGCTCTTGCCATGAGCTGCCAAGGTTATGGAAGCCTTTTGTGACCACAAACTTCATCAATATTTAGACAAGGCCATAAGTGAAGTGGAAGTTCTCTCCTCCCTTCAGAAAAAAGTACATCTTTCTTTGATGGCCCCTTCTTTCCACTGGAGTCTCACTCACAGAGATCCTTCATGTAGAATGTTTTTTGCCATGGTGTCTTGGCTTTCCATGCCTGAAATGCTCTTATAGACTTTTCAGCCACATCCAAATGCCTTAAGGGCTGATTCTGAGGTCAGAGTGTTACTTAAAGTGATTGTCATTCTATGAGTCTGCTATGTGGACTACTTCCCATGTTGGACATTCCCTCCTTTTTAATTCTGACTATTATTATTACCAAGCACTTGATGCTATTTATGTGACCTCTTTAACACTTAATTATATCTATATGTTCACTTTAACACTTAATATGATCATTTTAACAATTAAGATGGCATTTTCACCACCAATTTTAATGGGATTTGGAGTCCCATGACAATTTTTTAAACTGTACCATTAGAAGTAAGTCTGTAGGACTGTGTGCAGAACTATACAACTTTACAATTACAAACTTCCTCCTCCCTCTCTTATTCTCCCTCTTATTTTTTACTGAGATCTATTTTCAATTAACTTTATATACATATGATTAACTCTATGTTAAGAGTTCAACATATAGCATGAAGAAAAGAAAAAGAAAAAAATATAAAATAAAATTAAAAAACATTCCTCAATAGTCAAGATGAGAGCTGTTCAAGTTTTTGATTCTCAAAGTGTCAATTTCACTTCTAAAGCTTTCATTTTAGGTATGCTATTAGTTCTCACAGATCAGGGAGAATATTTAGTAGTTATCCCTTTGGGACTGGCTTATTTCACTAAGTATGAATTTTTCAGATTGATCCATTTTGTCACAAATAACCAAATTTCATTTTTTACTGCTATGTAGTATTCCATAATTATATAACCCATAATTTCTTTATCTAGTCTAAGAGATTTTCTATGAAAATTATTACAACCATCTACTATGTACAGGGCCCACAGCAGGATCTTCTCTTGTTCTTGCCTACACTCTAAGAAGCCTGGTGTCATAGCCCTACCACAGTCCAGCCTACCCTCTGGAGAATGAGGTCGGGTGGTGGTAGGATGCCATGCTGGTACCTAGCTGAAGAGGGAAAGAGTGCAATGGTCTGTGTTCTTTCACTCCAAGACCCCCCTGTCCTCATGTTCACTCACAGCAGGAGCCCAACATGAAAGAAAGAGCTTCCAGATCCCAGGGTGGTAGGATAGACTGGCTGTCCAGAATAGTTACACCCAGCCCTCTCCATTTCAACATAGAAGGCTCAGGGAGGCACAAAACTTCCCTGGGGTCAACAGTGTGGGAAGCCAAGCTGGGGTACTCATCCCCTGACTCCCCTGCCCCTGCTATTTCCCCACCACCCAAACTGCCCCTACACCTGAGGCTTTGGCCTTCCCTGGGAGCTTCCGTGTACAAGGGCCATGGGGCAGGTAGGTCAACAGTAGAGCCATGAGGCCCTTCAAGTTTTTCCAAGGTAGTCCCAGCCCTGTTGTCACTGCCCCAGGCTGTCCTGCCCCCACCTTGTGTCTCTCCAGAGAACACTGCTCTCCCTGGTCCTTCACACCAAAGGAGCACAGACTGAGAGCACATTGCCAGGCCTCTTCATGTCATCTTAAAGCACAAGTCTGGGAGAGGCTATTGCTTAACCTAAAGGAATGAGGCATCAGCGAAGGGACCTCAGGCATGAGCCAGCAGATTTCCCCCCGAATAGGCATTTACCAGTGTGCACGCAGCATCGTCATTTCTATGCCTTCTCAGAAGTATGTCGGTCTTTGGGAAACTACAGGAAAGGAAGGAGGAAGCTGTAGGCTTAGCCACAAGGCTTGGCTGGTCTTAGGGGCCAAAATAGTCAGGACTGACAGTGGATTGGAAGGAAGGGACCTGCCAAAAATTTACACAGCGGGTTATGTTGTTCAGTTTGTTGTGAATTGTTTGTTTCTTTTCCTGGTCCTGAACCAAAGACAAGATTTCCAGACTTCCACCTGCTGGTGACAGAGAGACTGCAGCACTGGGGCTGATGACTGGATTTCCAGCAGGAAGCTCCAGGAAGTGGAGCTCTTGGTCCTGCCCCTTCTCTCCTATACACTCAGGATACAGGGCCCCGGCTGCTCCCCAGTGGTGAGAGGGATTCCACTTCTACACCCATCTCCCCAGAGTTTTGTGGAACCCAGAAATCACAGGAGCCAGAAATAAATGAGCAGAAGGGAGACTTTTTATTGGAAAGTGGATGAGAGAAGCAGCCCCAGGCTTGGGCATCCTAAATGCAAGGAAGAATGGGTAGAGAAGAGAGGGGAGCACTATAGGGAACTGGGAATATCTCTTGGCATCACAGGTGCAGTGGGGACAGGTTCCAGCTGGTGGAGAAAGGAGAATTAGGTGTAACTCCGCAGGTCCAAGCACTCAGAGGCAGTGAGGAGGCAGGATCGTTCCTCTCTACACTGTAGTTATGGCCTCTGGAAGCCCTCAACCTCTGTCTCTCACCTCTCCATAGCCTCCTTACCAACCTCTTGCATTAAATCTTCCTGCTCAGCCTTCTTCTGTGTCCTCAGGGATCCCTTATTCTTCCAGGTTGTGTTCTTGGGTTCACCTAATGGGTGGTTCCTATAGAGATTCCTACAACTGCTTACACTGCAGAACTCATCCAATGGGCGATCATCATGTCTTATGGCTTATAATGCAAGCCCATGCCTGCCACAGGATGGACAATTGAGGGAGGCTTTAGACTTATTGGCATTGAAATCTTGGCATGGAGCTATATATTGGTCTTAATTGTTGATTGATCTTTAGGAGCATTTTTCCTTTAACCAAAACATGATCTTTGACAGTCTCAGAACATTTTTTAAAAATATTTATTTATTTATATATTTGAGGGGCAGAGAGAGAGAGAGGAAGAGGGAGAGGGAGGTAACGAGGGAGGGGTAAAGAGGGAGAGAGAGAGAGAGAGAAAGGAGAGAGAGATCTTTCAGCCACTAGTTTACTCTCCCAAATAGCTACAACAGCAGGGCTGGGCCAGGTTGAAGCCAGGAGCCTGGAACTGCATCTGGGTCTCCCTTGTGAGTGCCAGGCGCCCAGCCACTCAAGCCATCGTCTGCTTCCTCGCTGTGTTAGCAGAGCTGGTATAGAGCAGCCAGGACTCTAAGTGGCTTTCCTAGGGATGGTGGTTATGGTGTCGTCCCAGCAATCTGTTTCACCTGCTGTACCGCAGTATCTGGACCTTTCGCACTACCTTTTGCTTTGACAGGAACACGGCTTCTGACAGTTTTGCGACCTTTGTTGAGTTTTTTACATTTGACTGGAACTTTTCCTCTTGAAAGTTGCTGTTTTCTGAATGGAACTTTGCCTTGGACAGTTGGTTGATCTTTACCTGGAATGTCTCTTTCAACATTGACTGGAACGTGATCATTCATGGTCTCAAGACTTCTAGTTGAAGCTTTTTCATTCACAGGATCTTGCTCATTCACTGGAACATGATCTTTACTAGTTTCATGTTTTGCAGCAACTTGGGCTTTGACAGGATCTTTGATAGGTTCTTGAGCATTGGCCGGGGCTTGTCTCTCAACAGGGCGTCGCTCTGTCAACGGAACACGATCTTTGCTAGTTTCCTGATCTTTTCCTGGAACTTGTCCTAGAACGAGATCTTGATCTTTCACTGGCACATGAACTTTGCCTTCTTCCTGCCTGGTTGCTGGATCTTGTCCATGAACAGGATCTTGGTCTTCCAGTGGAGGTTGCTCTTTTGCGCTTTCCTGACCACTTACAGGAGCTTCTGCTACGACAGGTTCTTGTGGTTTTGAGGGAGCTAGATCTCTACTGCTCCCCTGATCTGTGCCTGGAGCTTGTGCTTCAGAAGGCTCTTGCTCCTTTGCTGGGAGATGATCTGTGCTAGTTTCCTGACCTTTGGCTGCAATTTTTCCTTCAACAGAATCTTGCTCTTTCGCAGGAATGTGATCTACGCTGGCTTTCTGATCTTTGCCTGAAAGCTGTTCTGCAGTAGGCTGTGGCTCTTTCTCTGGAACGTGATCATTAGAAGCTTCCTGATCTTTGACTGGAACCTGCCCTTTACCAAGCTCTTGGTCTTTCACTGGAACATGATCCTTGCTAGTTTCCTGACTGGCCACTGGAACTTGCACATAAACAGGATATTTGTCTTTCGGTGGAAATTGCTCTGTTGTAGATTCCTGACCAGTCATACCAAGGTGTGTTTCAACACGCTGTTGCTGTTTCTCTGGTACATGGTCTTTGCTGGTTTCCTGATCTGCGGCTGGAGCTTGTCCTTCAGGTGATTCTTGCTCCTTTGCAGGAATGTGATCTACGCTGGCTTTCTGATCTTTGCCTGGAAGTTGTTCTGCAACACGCTGTTGCACTTTCTCTGGTACATGGTCTTTGCTGGTTTCCTGATCTGCAGCTGGAACTTGTCCTTCACCAGCCTCTTGGTCTTTCAGTGGAATCACATCTTTTCCAGTTTCCTGATCCTTTACTGGAATTTGTCCTACAACAGAATCTTGCTTCTTTGCCGGGGCATGATCTTTACTAGCTTCTGGATATTTGCCTGGAACCTGTTCCTCACCAGGCGTTTGCTCTTTCATCAGAACCTGATCTTTGCTAGCTTCCAGACCAGAGACTGCAGCTTGTCCTTCAGGTGATTCTTGCCCCTTTGCAGGAATGTGATCTACGCTGGCTTTCTGATATTTGCCTGGAACTTGTTCTGCAACACGCTGTTGCTGTTTCTCTGAAACGTGATCCTTGGAAGTTTCCTGATCTGCAGCTGGAACTTGTCCTTCACCAGCCTCTTGGTCTTTCAGTGGAATCACATCTTTGCCACTTTTCTTATCCTTTACTGGAATTTGTCCCACAGAAGACTCTTCCTCCTTTGCCAGGACACGATCTTTGCGAGCTTCTTGATATTTGCTTGGAACCTGTCCTCCAGCAGGCTTTTGTTCCTTCACTGGAACCTGGTCTTTGCTGCTTTCTAGACCAGTCCCTGGAACTTGTTCTTCAACTGTATCTTGCTCCTTTGAAGGAATACTGGCTTTCTGACCTTTACCTGGAATCTGCCCTTTAGCAGGGTCTTGCTCTTTGACTGGTGTGTGGTCTTTGCTGGTTTCCTGATTGTTGGCTGGATCTTGTTGTTCAACAGGCTGTTGCTCATTCATTGGAACATGATCTTTGCTAGTTTCCTGATCATTGGTTGGAACTTGTCCGTCTTCAGGCTCTGGCTGTTTCACAGGAATATGGTCTTTGCTAGCTTCCAGACCTGTTACTGGACTTTGTCCTTCAGCTGGAAGTTGGTCTTTCAACGGGACTTGCTGTATGCCAATTCCGTGACCAGTCTCAGGAAGTTGTGCTTCAACAGGATCTTGCTGTTTCACTGGATCCTGATGTTTGCTTGGTTCTTGATCTTTGGTTGTATCTTGTTCTTCAAAATTCTCTTGCCCTTTCAATGGAATGAAATCTTTGCTAGCTTCCTGACCTTTGACTGGACTTTGTCCTTCAACAGCATCCTGCTCTGGTGCAACAACAGGATATTTGCTGGATTCCTTATCTTTTCCTGGAACAATTTCTGCAGCAGGCTCCTGCTCTCTCACTGGAATGTGGTCTTTGCTAGTTCCCTGACTGATTGTTGGACCTTGTCTTTTAACAGGACTTTGGTCATTCAGTGGCACCTGCTCTCTCTTCATTTCTTGACTGGTTATAGGAATTTGTGCTTCAACAGGATGCTGCTCTTTGGCATGATCTTGATCGTTGCCTGTTACCTGATCTACAGCTGGAACATGTTCTAAGGAAGGCTCTTGCTGTTTCAGTGGAGTGAGATCTTTGCTAGCTTCCTGATCTTTGACTGGAATTTGCTCTTCAACAGGGTCTTGCACATTTGCAGGAAAATGATCTTTTCTTGTTTCTTGATCTTTGTCGGGAACTTGTCCAGCCAAAGGTTGTTGCTCTTTCAACAGAATGTGTTCTTTGCTAGTTTCTGGATCTATGACTTGAGTTTGCTCTTCGACAGAATCTTCCTCTTTTGAATGAACATGACCTTCACAGTCTCCCGCATCTTTGCCTGGAAGCTCTGCAGACAGCTCATTCTCTCTCACTGGATGATGATCCGTGTCAGTTTCCTGATCTTCCGCTGAATCTTGACTTTCACCAGACTTTTGCTCCTTCCCTGGAACATGATCTTTGCTAGTTTTTGGAAGTTTACCTAAACCTTTGTTTCCAAGGGGATGATGTTTTAGTGGAACATCTTTATTAGGTATTTGACTCTGCTCTTGGACAGGTATGTGACCTTCAGCAGGAACTGTTAAGAAAAACAATGTATTCAGATTTAGGTCTACCTGCTTCAATTGCCATGCCTCTCCCTTAAGTCCATCCACCACTCACTCCAGTATTCCCCACGTCCTGACCTGAGATGATGCTGTTACTCCAGGGGTGGATGAGTTCTGAATTCTTGCGATGCTCTTCTGTTCTCATGGGGGAAAGGGTTTCCAAGCTTGCAATTTCATTGCTACCTGATTCTTCCCCATACCACCACTCCAATTCCTTCAGGAAAAGGTGCCAGAGTGTGTGAATATCTAAAAATAAAAACATCATATTGTCATTTAAGAGAAACTTAATGAAGGGAAAAATAAAACCTTGAAACACATGCCACAAGGCCTGGGCTCTATCCTCTTCTAGGAATCATTCTGACTACTACTTGCTCTTCTCTATACCCCTGTTTCCTCTTTATATGAGACAGTGTTTCTTAAACAACATAATCTGGGGCCTGGCGCTGTGGCACAGTAGGTTAATCCTCCACCTGCAGCGCCAGCATCCCATATGGGCGCTGGTTCGAGATCTGGCTGCTCCACTTCCCATCCAGCTCTCTGCTATGGCCTGGGAAAGCAGTAGAAGATGGCCCAAGTCCTTGGGCCCCTGCACCCATGTGGGAGACCCGGAAGAAGCTCCTGGCTCCTGGCTTCGGATCAGCACAGCTCTGGCCCTTGTAGCCATTTGGGGAGTGAACCAGCGGACGGAAGACCTTTCTCTCTGTCTCTCCCTCTCACTGTCTGTAACTCTACCTCTCAAATAAATAAATAAAATATTAAAAAAAAACATAATCTGACATCTTCTTACTGTGTTCTACTCAGATGCCTACAAGATGGAGAAACAGCCCAGCCCAGGACCCAGAGTCCTGGAGTTTGTCACTTTGTTGCAGATTCTGTACAAGTATTGACACTTGATGCCATGACCACATAACAAAACTTCTCCTCACAGACCTAATATCTCAGTCACCAGGTTGAAGGGCATGTGGAGAATTTAGATAAGCCTCCTGCTTTCTTTGAATAAAACGGAAATGGTCATAAGGTTGGAACGTGGCCTCCAGCTCTACCTACTGCTCCAGAAATGCTGTCTGTATGGATCCAGGAGGCCTCTCAGAGCCCAGCCCAGTCCCACAAGGTAACCTCTCCACTCAACCCTCACGGCAGCTGCCTCTGTCCCCAGTGTCCTGAGAATGATAACATGACCAGCGCCAAAGAGTTGCTGGTCCTCATTCGTCAGGATGGTGTTTGGCAAAAAGCTGGAGCCAAGCCAGGTTTAGGCAAAACCAGCTTGGCTTGGCACCAGGGATGAGTCTGTGGTTTCACAAGGAACCAGAAATTTCCTTAGCTAAATTAGAAAACAGATACTTCCGCTATAGAAAAGACAAAGATGCTTCCCCCAAGGATTCTTCACAGGGAAAATGGGAGAAATTGTGTCACATCACCTTTGATAACCCCAAGAGCCTTCTCACTTTCTTACTGACAAGCAGCATTGGCCGTCTTTAGGTACCATCACAAATTCTTCATATATAAAGATACCATGAGGCCCAGGCAGGGGGAAGGAATCCCCTGAGGTCCTTGACATGTCACTGGTAGATCTAGTCTTGATTCCAAACCATGGGTGTTCCTCCACTTTGCCCTACTCCTAAACCCCCACCCAGACCCTCCCTATTGTTGTTCCAGCATCAAACTGGACTTTGCCTGCTCCTGAGAAAAATCTAGTAAGGCAAACTTGCTTTCAGATTCTAATCACCATTGTACTCTGTCATTTCACAGGTCTTAGAGATGTACCAAGAAACTCATTGGAAGGTGAGATTCTAGGGCTGCAATGGTATGATGCCTTTGAAATCTCAGTGGACTGGGAGAAAACACTAAGGTATTGAAAGGAAGAATCCACACATCTTTTATAGGGTGGATATCTCTCCAGCATGCCTTTCTCCCTCTTAGCATAGCAGCTTGTCTCTTCTGAAGAACTGGTGTTTCTTTGTACCATCAACTTATGAGTCTAGTGTAGACTGCTAATCATGAAAGCTTCATCTGACCACAGGTAGATGACCAAGAAAGAGAAAAATAGAGAAAAGGGGAGGAGAGAGTATTTAAGCTGCAGAGTAAATAATTCATGATAGTATTAGCTTTCAAAAGATCAACACTGATGCACTCTGTTGTTTCCAGTCTTTTGCATTGACAAATATACCACATTCCTTTACCGTTCACCCTCCAATGGCCGCCACGGCTGGCGCACTGCGGCCGGCGCACCACGCTGATCCGATGGCAGGAGCCAGGTGCTTCTCCTGGTCTCCCATGGGGTGCAGGGCCCAAGCACTTGGCCCATCCTCCACTGCACTCCCTGGCCACAGCAGAGAGCTGGCCTGGAAGAGGGGCAACTGGGACAGAATCCAGCGCCCCAACCAGGACTAGAACCCGGTGTGCCGGCGCCGCAGGCAGAGGATTAGCCTATTGAGCCACGGTGCTGGCCCATATTTATATATATCTTGATCTTGATCAGAATTTATATCCAAGTTTGATCATTGTCATCTACTTGCTATACAATTAGGATTACACAATTTGTCTTCTGATCCATCCCAGTGTCTGCTTTATTGTCCACCATTAAGTGGTTCTTGTTTTCTACTGAGATATTGGCCTGATATTCCCATTTCATATTGTACATGCCAATTATATTGATTACATACAAGGGTATTTCAAAAAGTCCATGAACAACGAAATTAAGAGATAAATTGTCTCCTGTGCAAAAAGTTTGAAATCCATAAAAAATGACATGAATTTTCATAAATTTTGGAAGACTCATATGCATGAATTTCAAAAATTTTAAACTTATTTTTTAATTCCCTTTACCCACAAACATTTTGAAATACTCTCATATTTGATTACAGTCATGACAGTTGTCATCTACTTGCTGTTTGGATTAAATACATTGACTGCATTGAGTTTCAGGTGTTGTTTACCTTTTTGTTCAGAATAGTGTTGGTATTACTGTCTATTTGAAAATTGATATTATCCACTTAGCAATGATCTGACAACTAACCTGGTAATTTCTCAGAATTCTTAGGCTTCAAAATCTCCCCATGATTCGTTCCAGCTCTTACCCCTTTTCTCATCAACTCGCTGATTTGACTTACAGTGGAGAAGACTTGATTCTCATCAGGGAGAAGAATCTCTGCTTCCACCAGTTTCCTCTCGCACCAGAGTACCCTTAGAGGCCTTGCCCCCTGCGTAGCACCCCCCGGCCCGCCTGTCTACTCACCAACATGTCTTGACCCGGCTGCTTGCTTCTCAAGGATGAGAAGCAGGGAAAAGAAGAAGATGGTGTACTTCATCTCGCCAGAAAGAGCCGTGGCTGAGAGCTGAGCTCAGCCCCTCTTTTTATCCTCCTTGCCTGGTGTGCTGTGGGTGGTGCTGAAGGTACCGCCCTTTCTTAGCTTATCAGGAAATGCGTCTTCCTCCCCTCTTGCACAGTGGGGGGCATTGTCAGAATCCCCAGGGAATTTGTTTAGGGACCCAAGATCAGAGATGTTTTTCTACCCCCACAAGCTGTGACAAGTATTTATCAACATTTTAAGATCATCCTCCAAAATCTTCTGATTTCCTGAAGAAATTCAGTACAGAGTACGGAATAACCTTTCATTGCGTTCCAGAATTAGTCAGTGACTCAGCAAGCTTTCATGGTCTCAGTGTGGGGCTTATTCCATGATGCCATAATCCCAATACTCCATCACAGGTATCACCTTGTACTTCAGCCTGTTTCAAGATGAGCTTAAGATATATTTTAATTTACCCGAGAAGAAAAAATCATAGGCAGAAAGACCCAGAAGCAAATGCAACTTTGTGGAAGCTGAAGAAAGTTTCAAGAAGTAAATGGGGCACACTAGTGTCAAGAATGGCTACGATGTTGGTCACTGTAAAGACTGATCACCAAAAAGTTGGCCAAAGTGTAGTTACTATGAGTAACTCTGATGAAAGATGAACAGTTGTGTTGGGTTGTCACAGCTGTTGTCAGTAACCTTTTCAAGATGTATGAATGTATAGTGGAGGGCGTAGTATAGCTGTTGTACCTGGAAAGTAGGGTGAGCTCTGGTGATACTTTTTAAAAGTGGGAGAAATTTAAAATATTCTAGTGGAGATAGGTTGACTGTTGGAAAAAGAAGTAAGAATGTTGGTTTTTGAATTGGTTCTTTTCCTGAAGTCTATGTAAGCAACATTAATAGTGTTGAATTAAGAAAAAAAAAACTTCCTATTTAAGTAGTATATAGCTACAACTCCCAACAAACTCTGAGGCATATTTGCAATTGTTGATGAGTTTATTTATTTATAGAGTAGATACAAAGAAAATACTTCTACCTGTGCAGAGAAGTGCAGTTTTGTTTGTTTGTTTTTGTTTTACAGTTGTGAGAATATCCTAAGTGATCCAAAGAACACTCCTTTATTTAAACTTGTGTAGACTGGGATACAGGCAGACCACAGGAGAAGAGAAGAGTATCCCAACTATGACCCTGCATGCATTCAGAACACTAGGGACAGTGGTTTTGCAGGAAGGATGATGTCCGAAAGTATTTTCAATCATTTTGCTCCCAAGTCCTAGTCTGCATGTAGAGGATACTGTGTGGAAGTGGGGGCGGGGTGGGGGGGAGAAGACAAACTATTCTGTAATAGGAAGAACTTAGATAAAAAGTACTAAGTGATCAAATTTAAGAGATGTGAACTGCATGGTTTCTTATGAACTACTCTGTGCTCCTGCCAGGGTTATCTGTTTTCCCAAAGGGCAGTAATTATTCCCCTCAGGCAGTGATTCCAGAAGATTCTGTTAAAATATCCTGGACTGAACTTTCCTGTTGTGCCTGCTTCGCTCTGCACTGTTCCCTACACTTCCCTTGAGCAAATACCAAGAACTGCTCCATTCTGAGCTTACAAGTAGAGGAAGGATCTGATACCATTGATCTTATTTATGGATCAAAGAACAAATTATTATCTGATCCAGTATCTGAAATCAAAGGAGCTCAAGATGTATGAAAAAAAAAAAACCAGGAAGATACATTTTAAAATTACATATGGGGGGCTGGTGATGTGGCAGTTCCGGCATCCCATATGGGCATCGGTTCGAGTCCCAGCTGCTCCACTTCTGATCCAACTCTGCTATGGCCTGGGAAAGCAGTACAAGATGGCCCAAGGTCTTGGGTCCATGCACCCAGGTGGGAGACCCAGAAGAAGCTCCTGGCTCCTGACTTAGGATCAGCTCAGCTCCAGCCATTGCAGCCAATGGGGAGTGAACCAGAGGATGGAAGACAGACTCCCTCTCTCTCTCTCTCTCTGCCTCCCCCTCTCTCTGTGTGTAACTCTTACTTTCAAATAAATAAACCTTTAAAAAACTACATATAGGGCTGGTGTTTGATATGGCGGTTAGGATGCCACTTAGGATGCCCACTTCCCACATCAGAGTGCCTGAGTTTGAGCCCCAGTGCTGTTCTTGATCCCAGCTTTCTGTTAATGCACACATTGGGAGGCAGCAGGTGGTTGCTTAAGCAGTGGGTCCCTGTCACTCACATATAAAATTCAAATTGATCTCCCAGCTTTGGTCTGGCCCAGCACTGTTGTGGGAATTTGGAGGGTAAGCCAGTGTATGGGAGATCCCTGTCTACCTGTCTTTGTCTATCTGACTTTCAAATAAGTAAAATAAATAGGCTGGCGCCGCGGCTCACTAGGCTAATCCTCCGCCTTGCGGCGCCGGCACACCGGGTTCTAGTCCCGGTCGGGGCGCCGGATTCTGTCCCGGTTGCCCCTCTTCCAGGCCAGCTCTCTGCTGTGGCCCGGGAGTGCAGTGGAGGATGGCCCAAGTGCTTGGGCCCTGCACCCCATGGGAGACCAGGATAAGTACCTGGCTCCTGCCATCGGATCAGCGCAGTGCGCCGTCCGCATTGTGCCAGTCGCATTGCGCCAGCCGTGGAGACCAAAGTCTCTCTCTCTCTCTCGCTCTCACTGTCCAAATAATGCCCATGAAAACACCTAAATTCAAGCCACATATCCATCTAAGCTTAAAAAAAAAAAATAAATAAATAAATAAATCTTAATTAAAAATACACAATAAAAACAGCAAACGGGTCAGGCATCTGGCGTATTGGTTACAATGCCCACATACCACACCAGAGCGCCTGGGTTTGGTTCCTAGCTGTGTCTCCTGACTCTAGCTTCCTGTGAATGCACAACCTGGGAGGCAGCAGGTTATGGCTAAAATAGTTGGGTTGCTACCACCTGCATGGCAGTAGGTGGGTTCCTGCCACCTGCCATGTGTAATGTTAGGCACATATTGGAAGGAGCCTGGAGCCTGTGTGTGCCCCTGAACCTCGCTCCTGGCTTCAGCATGGCTCAGCCCCAGATGCTGGAGGCATCTGGGGAGTGAACCAACAGATGGTAGCTCCCTCTGTCTTTCTGTCTCTTAAATAATAATAAGAAGAAGACAGTATATGTAGAGCTAGCTTATTTGTTTTCTGTTTACCAAGCAAAGAGTTTGTCTTCAGCTTTTTAAGATTCCCCAATACTTTGGGATTTATTCATTTGCCTATGTGAGACTTTTACCTGCTCCCAAAGTCAGGTGTATGCATAAGGATATTCAGAGAAGTAACAGGCATTTGTCCCCCCTTTCCCCTCTTTTCTACCAAATCCCTGACAATATCCTATAGGTTACCACTCTCTTTGGTGTCTGGATCTTTCCTTCCTGTCTATTTTTTTTTCTGCATTTAGTAGGTACTTGGTTATTTTTTTATGTCCCAATCTTTGTTACTGGACACTTCATAATGAATCTGGAAATTGCCCTATCAGTTCAAATTCGGTTTCCTTTAAACAGCTTCATCATACTTCACCATTCGGATGTGCCATCAGTCATTCAAATACCCTGTTCTGTATTGGTGTTTCATTTTTTCTAATATTTCCAATCATAACCAATACTGCAACTAATGATTCACTTTAATTCCATGTGTTGGTTTGGATTGTGCTAATGCTCCAGAGTTTCTACACCTACTAATCCAGCCCTCTCATCTTTCTTGAAGCATTTTGAATCTTCCAATCTTGGTCTATATCTCATGAAAAGAATAATAATTGAAAACAGCAGAGTATAGCCTTAAATAAATATTGTTTTAAATTCAAATAAGAAAAGAAAACAGCAGAGATGTTCACCATCCCCAGCTCTACTCCTGATGCCGAAACAGTTTCTCACTGGCAAGAAGAGAGAAGTTTCTACATTGTGTCAACAGGGATTTCAACTGCAAATCTCATTTAAAGTTGTAGCCCAGGACATTAATTACATATTGGAAAGAACCTGCAGCCTGTGCGTGCCCCAAAGACACGCAGGGCTGTTACAGAATCTTCCAGGGGACTGGCACTGTGAGACAGAAGGTTAAGCCTCCGTGTGCAATTCCAGCATCCACATGGGTACAGTTTGAGACCTGTCTGCTCCACTTCCCAACCAGCCCCCTGCTAATGCACCTGGGGAAGCAGCAGCAGATGGCCCAAGGCCTTGGACTCCTGCCACCCACGTGGGAGACCCAGAAGAAGCTCCTGGCTCCTGGCTTTGGCCTGGCCCAGCCCCAGCTGTTGTGGCCGTTTGGGGAGTGAACCAACAGATGGAAGATTCTCTCTCTCTCTCTCTCTCCTTCTCTTCCCGGTTGCCCCTCTTCCAGGCCAGCTCTCTGCTGTGGCCCGGGTGTGCAGTGGAAGATGACCCAAGTGCTTGGGCCCTGCACCCTATGGGAGACCAGGAGAAGCACCTGGCTCCTGCCTTCGGATCAGCACCGTGCGCCGGCCTCAGTGCGCCAGCTGCGGTGGCCATTGGAGGGTGAACCAACGGCAAAGGAAGACCTTTCTCTCTGTCTCTCTCTCTCATTATCCACTCTGCCTGTCAAAAAAAAAAGTATTCATTAGAATCAAAGGCCTCCAGCCAAGCAGCATGAAGGGGGGCTTCCAAAGAGAAAAACCCAAAGAGACTGGTGGCAGTCGGCTTTACGTACAATTTTGAAGGAAGAAAACTTGACAATTAGATTGGCATTCAGTCACCAAGAAGGGAAAAAAGCCATCAAAAGACCTCATTCTCCATCCTGTCGGGCCTGCTCAGGGTGGGGTAGGTACCTTGTTTTCACAACGAGCTGTGAGCTCAGGAAGAGCCCCCTTGCTATTCCCACGGTAGATCTGGAGATTCTGAAGGAAGGAAGGTGACCTGTTTGTTCTTCTTAAGATAATGCTTTTGGGGAAGGAGGCAGATATTTTACACCCCCAAATTCCACTGGGACCCCCTGACTATCTGTTAACCCTTCTGACTCCTCACAGGAGGACAACACAGGTCGTTGCTTGCTCTGGCC